ATCACAATGTAAGTACATATAATTTTACCGATTAGAGACGACGTCTGCCCTGGTACACGCCATCTATGACGTCACGGTAACTGGAGGTTCAAGATGGAATCGCTACCCACGCTTTGTTCTATCTTTTTTTTTTTTTTTTTGCAAGCGCTTTTTTCTTCGCTTACGAAGCGTGTTCTCGCGACAAGCGTGGCGATTTTCAGCATTGTGAAAGACTAATTTACTAATACGAAAAGTAAGAGCGTTTTTCTTTTTACGTCGCCCTTTTACGAAATAACACATTTCGAGCTGGTCGATCATACCGAGACGAAACAAGCGCGCACTTGACGAGGTCGGACCGAGGAGACATACACCTGTGCAGCGCCCGTGTCACGAGTCTCCTCGGTCCGTTCTGGTCAAATGCGCGCTCTCTTCGTCTCGGTTCCTTTCGGAAGCCTAATGATTGATTGATATGTGGGGTTTAACGTCCCAACAACACCATATGATTATGAGAGACGCCGTAGTGGAAGGCTCCGGAAATTTTGACCACCTGGGGTTCTTTAACGTGCACCCAAATCTGAGCACACGGGCCTACAACATTTCCGCCTCCACCAGAAATGCAGCCGCCGCAGCCATTTTCGGAAGCCTAGAAGCGCCACTTTGGTGTTGCTCCCAACTTCTTCTTCTTCTTGTTGTTTTTTTTCACTACCTTGTAATATTATCCCTTTATTTAATTCGTAGTAGCCTTTTCGGTTCTCTACTTAGACCTTTAAACATGCTTTCTACAAGCAACGAAGCCTTTGAAAGGCAAGGTGTGCCGATCGTGTGCCGGAAATTGGGCGCTGGAATTCTCCGTAAGACGAAATTCCCGAATCATGCAAGCATGAAAACCGTGGACTAATAAGCCGCAAGTCACCATAGAGAGCTCAACATTTCTCACATTAAACTTATCCGCAACACTATTGATTAGAACTTTCAGCTTCGTTTATTTTTACAAAGGCTTGCGTTTTTTCCCCTTCATGTGCTGTTTTTTTTTTTTTTTTTTTTGTCGCTATGGTCTTTAATTTTGCCAACGTACTGTATGTTTATCTTTTGAGCGCTCTATGTTAGTGGTTATTCACTTGGACTGCAACCCTGTTTCCGACAAGTTTACTTGTGGTTTCATAGTAGCTACCCTTACTGAGAGCCGTCAAACGTGCATGTATCTTTTGACAAATAAATACATATGCCCATGAATTATTTGTGTTACGTACAACGACCAGCGAACTTTTTTGGCTAGAAAGGATTCCTTTAAGTAGGCGGGAAATCGAGGCTGACCATTTTAAGCTACAGAAAGCTCATCATCCCTGGCTCGCACGCCTGCTTTACCGAATGTGTAAACATCACATCATCTTTATTTGCAATTTTTTTTTTCGAAAACATTATTGACAATATTTATGTATTCATTGAAAGTTATTCGTTTAGATAGTTAATGTTACTTAGTTACTAACTAACACCACAAGGACTAACGTGTCCCAACCCAAGGTCGCACAAACATGAATTCATGGCTTTGTACATACGTCACCAAAGCTTCTTTTTGGCTGCGAAGCGCAGAACAAGAGGGCGCGGCCATCAATGCTCGTCTTTTCTTAATGGTCACTGGGCTTCGTGATATCATATATATTCTCGCTTCGTGATATATCACAGTGACAACAGTTTTACTTCGTCTTTCTTTTTTTTTTTTCGCGACATCGCTCAGAGCGCTTTCGACGGCCAAAGCGGTTGTTGCATCCGCAGCGATAAACAGGGATCAGTACTGCGAGGCAGGCACATCACTGGCGCCGAGCATGCTCAGGTGTGGCGTATTTGCGACTAAAGATGTCGCCCGTGCTGTTTCGCGCACGACGCTCCCTCGTTATAGACAGCCGAGTTGAGAACTGTAACTATCTATAATATACGTCGGTTCGCAAAACAAGTCGCAACATTCGTGCCCTAACATTATTTCGCAACGTTCTGTCCCTCACTCGTCTGAATCTTTACAGAAAGAATGGCCGAATAAAGAAATGCAACGATGCTGTGAACGTGCTTAGGATCAACGAAGTAAGTTAAAAAAAACGCATGCAACAAACCTTTGTTTGATTCCTCGCCACGATGCATCAGGCGGTAGCACGGCGAAATCGTTGCTTTAAATCACTTTGTAATGTCTATCAGTGCTTACGTGAGTATGCCACTTCACTTCCGAGGTTTAGCACCTACGGCTTTGGCGCAGGCAGCCTCGAAGCGTGCAAAAATCACTGTCCGTTTTGAGCTATATGATGTCGCGACAACTCAGAAGAAACCGAATACGACAAGAACAAAAAAAAATTGCCAGTACAGGCTTTCCATGTTTGAATGCAGCAAAATATCGCATAAACGAATTCAATTAGCCTGAATTCGTTAAATGAAGCCTGCGTAGAGCCACCTGAATATGCAAGTAGTGTGCGCGTGTGACAGCGTTTCTGCGCCTCTGTCCCGTACGACAGAGTCGAGTTGCGAACAGGGTGACGCTCACCGCATGCCCACAAAGTGAGCTCATCTAGGCCCCTATTCTGCTACGCTCTTCCTTCTAAGGAAGTTCCTTCCATATCAACACACCAGAGACAAACAAAGAGCATGAGTATGTGAATAGTGTAGCTCATATTTTATTTTCGGAAGACGAACGTTGCATCAAGAAACCATGAAACTAACATTTAAAGTTAGTTCAAAATACGCCGATATGAGGTTAGGTCCTTTAAAAAAAAAAAGAAGAGGCCAGCAGACGATGGGCCCAGCTGAGCGGACGTTGTGAGGGCGCGCTTACCCTGGCCCTACTTGCAACTCGGCTCCGTCGTGTAGCTCCGACGCACAGAAAAGTCGAGGGTCGCTGTTCGCGCACGCTGGCTAAAGATTTCCGCGGCTGTATACACAGAAGGTCTCTGAGCCATTCCGTACCCATAAAAGCATTCATTTCGCGTTGCAGGAGTATAAACAATACAATATCTTGCGAGAAACAAAACTGTGTGGTACGCTCCAACGCCAATATCAGGGTGGTAATGTCATGGGCACATTTGAAGTAAGGCTATTTAAGAGCCCGGCGACTCCCTTAGCAACAATCGCAGCTAGTAAAAGCTGTATTCAACAACTACCAATACATTGAATTGCTTATACGGCAGCGCATAAGATGTGAGCATAGCACGCTTGTGCACGGTGCAAGAATAGAGAGTTTGAGAATTGGAGCCGAAGACACTGCGTCCCCAAACTGAGTTGAATAAAGCACACAGGACGCCACCCGTGGCCCAAATTAAAAATTATGCGAGACGCGTGCAATATGGCACCGTGGCTGGCGCTGCCTCTGCTTCGGTTTGCTGGCAACCCAAGACGTCTTGGGGGTCCACTGCCGATTTCGTTTTTTTGGGCCTTGGATCAGCGCAAACGCACGAGCCCAACGTTGGCATAGAATCTGCGCATGCGCCTTGGCGCCTCGCAAGCTTCTTAAGTCCCCAAGCTCCTTGGAGCCTCAATTCTAAAACTGTCTCTTAATGCTATAATCTAAAAACGCTGTGCGAGTTCTTGCGTAAGACAGAGCACAAGCGGCTTTAAGTATATCTTAAGGATTGAAAGCTTTGCTCCATCACCACTTTCGTCATCATCTTCAACAACACCTTCTCTCTTCTTTCTTTTCCACACCCTCCCCTTTACTAACGCTCAGTATAGCAGGTCGCCAAATTGATTCCGACGAACCAGTAAGCTTTTCTGCAACAATAAGCATTTAAGCATTTTGATCTCTATTGGCACGCCAGACAGGGTCATTTCAAACACCTAATACACGCTTGAGTTTCAAAGCGTAACTATCATCTGTTGGCCTAATATGATCAATAACTGTTTTTAACACTGCACGTGGACTCACGGGACCCATGCACATGGACTAATGGGCCCTTTCCAAGAAGCAATTCCAAGATTCATATACTAACTCCTACTACAGCTAAATTGCAGGAAATACGCGTCGACACAGCCAGGAATGACATAAAAGCATGCGAGACCAAAACCTAGAAGAAAAAAACAAAAGGCTTGGTATAAAAAACGGCATGGCAGAAAATCTTCCAACTTCTATGTCACCGTATCTTTGCTATTTCCAACTCGTGGTGAAGCCATGGGTTAGAGCCACCATGTCTAAGCATGAGGCGCAGAAATACAGATGTACAGGAAACCACGAATATGTCTCCTGCCCGTCGCGCTTTCGTCGTTTTGATGTTGAAGAATGGTTTTCAGCGATATTCAGCCAAAAAACTTCCGTGCTCGGGCGCAATTCAGGCCAGTGAATTTTTTAAGATAATCTACAACAGCGCATAAACAAGAAACGAACATAAACGTTCCTTCAGATAATCGCAAGTAGTGTCCACAGACTGACATCTCGCACGTACGGCACATTCGCGGCTTCCTAACGCGCTGATATAGCACACTGCGATGGCACCAACGCAGCATAATCACGGCTGCGGCTGGCCTGCTTCCGTGATATTGACGTAACGTCATTCACCTCAGCGCCTGCAAAGCGACAGAACTTGCACGTGACGTACTTCACATGACGTCAGAAAACTCGGCATCCCGCCATGATGGTACCACAACATGGCGGCTTTAATGACGCCACTGCGAGAGATCATCTGTTCCCACGCGTCCTGGCCGTAGCAGCAACAATGCAGCGCGTTCTTTTTACTGTGCATGCTTTCAACAATCAGATTAGTACCCTTAACCAGAAAGGCACTACGAAACAATCTCTGAGCAGTTGTAAGCAGCCAGACTATAGCCAAGAGGAGCTGAAAGGTAGCTCCATCGCTAGGAGGCACCCATCCATAGCGGGACATAGAAGAGTGAAGGCGAAGAAAAAACAAGCACGAACAGGCGGGTTAGTGCACAGCTTTAATAGCGAGCAGAAGTAACGAAGCCAGCCAAGACCAACGGCGCCCCTGTCACCGCCTAGAACTGGGCTTGGCGAAGTAGCGCCTCGGCCAGAAGACAACATGTTCACGTACCTTGACCTCCTCTTCCGGGGAGCTGCCAGCCGACACGGCGTCGGGCACCAATCCAGACTTCGTTCCGCCATCGCCTAAGGATGTCGGCGGCCTGTTCTTCAGCAACACAGGTGCCGAAGACGCTTTATGACTTAGCTGCTGCGGCGCGGTCCACGGAAGCGTCGACGTGACTTCCGGAGATATCTTGTCCGCCGTTTTCGTCGTGGGACGAGACAGAGAGCGGATTTGCGGCTTCTCATCCAGCGACTGCTGCCTCTGAGTGCTGAAGGAAAAAGAATATATTGCCCCGTCCAATGTGAAAAGGGCGGAAAAGGACGACCACGTGTTGTTGCAAATAAGGTCTAGTTCACATTTAAGTGCACAAACATATAAACGAGGCCGGAGCTCGCGCTTCTTACAGAAGAGGCGACAAAAATGCAAAACAGAAGCATAAAGTACGGTTGAACTCCCCAAACAGTAGGGAAAAATTTTTTCCTTCTAGGCACCTGTAATAAACATCCAATTTTGGCAAATTCCGCTGCCTTGTCGCCGTGACAATAACGCCCCTTGAGCAGCGTCATTTTTAACAGCGGAGATTTTTCGGTGTTTCGGCTCTCCGTTGGTCCGAAACGGGAGAACAGGAACGATCCCCATCATGAACCCACACGCTCTTTTTCTTAACTCTTCTGGTTGGCTCTTAAAACACACAAGCCAAATGGTTTGGCATGTGATTTATTAGCTCTGATAGCCGAGACAAAGGTATAGGGGTAAAAGGTTTTTGGCGAGGCAGGATTCAAAACCGCTGACCCACAATCCAAAAGCGAACATCGTAACCATTTAGCTAACCGGGCACGGTAGCAGAACATAGCACAACCTTGTACAGTATAGTACAGCAAAGCTGTGGTAAATAAAGTAAAAAGAAGAGGGGAAAAAAGCATAGTATAGCACAGCATATCAAAGCAAAGAGAGGGAGACAAAGAAAGAAAGAAAGAAAGAAAGAAAGAAAGAAAATAATTGGTGTGACTTCTCAAAAACCCTGGCATGATAATGACGGACGCCGTAGCGCAGGGCTACGGAAATTTTGACAATGTGGTGTTAGTTTACGTGCACCTAATTTCAACTATACGAGCCTAAAGCATTTCACCTGCATCGAAACGCTGCCACAGCGGCCGGCATTCAATCCCGTGACCTTCGATCGTGCTAGCACCGTACCCACCAGAACATCGTTGCAGGTAAGAAAGAGAATGAGTCAAAGAGAGAAATAGACAGGGATACCAGAAAGTGAGTAAGCGTGAGTCAGTGAGAAATACAAAACGAAAGAGAGAAACAGCAATGAGCAGAAAGAAAAAAACAGGGGGGGGGGGGGGGGAGAAGAAAAAAAAAAAAAAAAAGAGGAAAAAAAAATACAACTAAAGAGAAACAATAACCGGTCGCCGAGCTCCGCGCTTTTTCCACGCTTGGCTTTAAATTGTGTCAAGTCGCCTTAAAATATTCTTAAACATTCAGGCATACTAAACAGACAAATGAAGACTGATAAAAACCTGCGATCCTAATTGTATCTATGTTCGCCAATAAAAATCAATCGGGAGGCTCCCCAGAAATCAAAATATAAATTTGGGGGCAAATAGAATTTTAAATTATCCATGAAGTTGGGGCGAAAGCCAAGGTAGGCATGCGAAATCGAATACATCGTGCTCATACGACGCCAAGGCGCGCTAAGTCGGTCGTGCATGGGGTGGCCGTGCAGTGGCCCAGGTTCCGTAAAGTGAACGAACTCACCCTATATCGTTTTCTCTTATTTTTCTTCATGTACGCCCCTAACGCTCGCTAAATGCACGTGCACAGTGAGCGAGCCCTGTTGGCAATGCAGGCAAACAGCGTTCCAGTCATGTGTCCGAGCCACAGTGCTCGATGGCGCAGCTGGTGTTTACGTCGTCGCTAGCGGCGAATTTGAACATCGGACGTCCGAGGAAATACCATAGCGCCGATCGGATCAGCTGCGCACGCTCGTGCTCTGTCGATACCCGATAATCTGTTCGGAGCACTCCGAATGGCCGATTCCTGTGGCACATACGTAGCCACCTGAGGAGTTTTGCATGTGTTTTGGCATCGAAGCAGAAGAAAAGAACAAAGCACACGTGCCGGTTCATGATAATGATGATAGTTTTTTGCCTCCCAACAAAAAAAAATTAAAGCTACAGCGAGCTCAAACAATTTCAGGATAGCACGGGTCTAACACGCAGCCACCGTCAGAGCGAGCAGTGCGGGAACAGCTACAGCAACGCAGCCAAACAAATACACTCAACGAATACGCTGCGTCTCACACTTATTGCACCGGTAGTCTGAGTATACCTAAACTGATTACAGGTGAGAGTTAACATAACAAGGCAGCATGCGAGACGTAATCTAGTCGATTTGTTTCTGCATGCAACCAACTACTTTTCTAGTTGATTAAGGGAAAACTACAGGTATAGTGCCTAGAATATACTTATTCTAGGCACTATACTACGGGGGCAGAGCTTCTGCAAAGGTACTCCTACGAGAAGTAATCAGGTAGGGCGCGCATTTCGTGGAAAGTGATGGCTGCGCAAAATCGGCATTTCATCTAGACTCGGACGCCGCCGCTTGGCGTTTGAAGCACACGCAAAAGGTGCTACTTCCTCATGCATGCAAGAATGCAAAACAAACACGAATGTATCACTGGTGTGAGCAGTATCCTGTGTATGGTGAAATAGAGTATACTTTATAATCTTGTCTTAGAGAGCTATACATGTAGAAAATAAAGAAGCATTTTTGTATAACACACACAAAATAAAGACGCAGTTGCGCCCTCATTTTCCTGAAGTAAATACCGCCACAGCGGCAGTAGGCGCACCTCATCTGCACGCACAAGTGGCCGTCCAGCGCGGGCAGGGAAGGGCTGGCGCCGTTCTGCAGAGGGCGCGGCGCAACAACGCTGGCCGTCCCGATGGCCGTCCCATGCACGGCGCTGTCCGAGAGGTCCGAGGAGACAACCTCTTGCGAACTGGGTGAAGCCCTTGGAGTTAGCGGCGTCGGAGGCGCGTCGCAAGAAGACGAGGATGAAGACGAATCGCACACGGGCGACGGGGACTGAGTGGCGACGGCCAGAGTGTGCTGCGTCCTGGACGCAATTTTCGCATCGTTGCGCACGGCCGCCAGGCTCTCCTTGGACGAGCCCAGCTCCTCCACACACTCTGTCACACAGGTGAAGCTGGAACTGCACGAGCATTATCGTATGAGCCACATTGTCATCATCATCACCATCGTGCTGCGCTAATACAAAACCGCCAAGTATTCCGAAAAACACAGTAAGGAGTTTCACTAATAAATGAAACACACACGGCTCGTCTTATGTTCAATTCTACTCATGCATTTATATTTCATAGCATACATTTGCGCCTTTTTATCTTTCATAGCAATCAAATCGCGTACTGTATTACGTCTTATATAGGTGTATACAACGCAACACATCGAATCAGTCAGGAAAGTTATAGCGCAATACATTCCGCTTGAGGAGAATCGGCCACTCAAGACCTCAATAAAGTTCTTTGGCTGACTGATCGTCCCAGGGAAGACGTAATTGTGACGTCACCTAGTTTAGTACTCTGCGGCGTCGTGGTGACGTCATTACGACGCCAGGGCTAATTATCATCATCATGTGCTGATCACGATGTTTTGCATCACTCATGTGGACACCGGCGGTGATCTATTTCCGCGTTTTATAGGACACGTTAGGCTTCGCCTTTTGATATAAGAGATCATCTTCTTGGTGGAAACATTCCTCATAAGCTTCCTACAAGAGGCATTGGCTGAATGTTCGAGAAAAATCGTTCAAAAAGAAACTAAACAAAGAACAGAAAATTCGCACCAAGTTGAGCGAAAGTCGGTACAGCAAAGCTGGTTAATTTTTAATACATCATGCTGCAACACCGCAATCACAACGCCAGCGGCGATTGTATCCAAAGCGACTTGCAGGCCTTCTTTTACGTGGCGTCACTTGTCGAAAACACCCCTAGTTAACGACGTCGCCATGTGTCACGGAAGGCAGCAAATCGGTGTAGCATCCTTACCGATGCGCAGTTCGTACGGGTTGATATGCCATCGCACATCTCAATTTTTGCTCGGTAACGTACACAAATCGGTCCCACAAGCTCTTCCAAGTTCGATGGACAAAGCGCGTGCACGTTTCCTTTCACCATATCGCAGGAAAGACGCCGACAAGCTCCCAACCAGCGCTCAGCTGCACGCACAGCCTGACTAGCCTGACTCAATGTTGACAAGCATGTCAGTCGCTCACTTTTCCAGCCGGAAATGACGTCCGTTGCAACCCATGTACAGTGAACTAGAATATGATATTCTAATTCACAATAGGCAGCACTAACTTGGGAGGACTAAAGTCCCTGAAATTTAGTGAGGACAATAGGCGACAACGGTCAGTGAGGTCTCACCTGCGTGATATCTCCGGTGTCGTCTGTGTCACGGCATCTTGCGGCCAACTAGGAGGATCGTGCGGCGGTTCGACGCTCTTCAGGAACTCTTCCAACTCGTGCCGACTCTGGTGTGCAAAAAGAGAGAGAGAGCAAGGAAACAAGATAGAGACACTCAGGAACTTGTATTAATAATAATAATTGTTGAGGTTTAACATGCCAGAGCCACGATGTGATTATGAGATACGCAGTAGTGGAGGCCTCCGGAAATTTCGACTACCAGGAATTATTCAACGTGCAACTAAATCTAAGTGCACAGTCATCAAGCATTTTCACCTCCATCTAAAAGTTTACCTCTGTGGCCTGGATCCGATTCCGCGACATTCAAGTCAGCAGTCGAGCACTGAGGAACGAAAGCACAATAAACTTATGAACGTATAGTCTAAGCGAGTCCGCTGCATGCGTGATTTTCAATTCAACACGGCGCATAGCGCAGACAACGGACCTTTTTTAAGGCAGCCCTTGCGCAGCTTCAGATTGCCTGTTTTACTTAACTTCTGAAAACAGCGCTAGAACAGGAAAAGCAATGACAAAATCAAATGCTATGTCCCATACTATAGCGTTGTTTTCAAAAGTTCAGGCCATGCTAACAAGTCTGCAATAATACTCTAGATCAGTTGCGATTTACGCACATTGTCTATTACCAGATTATCATTCAGATTCACATATAACGTATAAGAAACGGGTGAAACAACATTATATTGATGTTTATGAACTACTCGGTCAACCAGCAAAACAAAAAAAACGCAGTGAAAGCGATCATATTGAGTCTGCATGGTCATATTTCAAAAAGCAAGAAATTACCGAAGATTACAGTGTTTTCCGTGCAACACGCGAGTCCAGCTGCACAAGTGATTTCCCCAGTTGATATGTTAGGCAGCGAACATGTGCAGAACATGTACGTGTTTTTTTTTTTTTCTTTTTTTGCGTCCTCACCGCATCATAGTACAAAGTCGCAAAAAAATTGTTCCGTGGGAATGCGGTACGTGGGCTGCGCTTGCCCTCACCTTTTTTTGCAACCCATTTCACTGGTACGGCAAAGATACACGGAAAGACTGTCACTCGCGCAGAATATTTGGGCGACTCGACATATGTACCTACACAGAGAGCTCTTTGCCATTTTATTTTGTCTGTTAATTTTACAACTTCCTAGTTTCTTACCGGAGGTGCCTGCTAAAACGCTCGTTCGGTCGGTTGTGGCGAGTGCCAACGACGCTCAGTCCAAAAACGGGCGCCCAAGAACTGCAATCTAACGAATGGCCACTTGACCTAACCAAAGCCTTTGTCCAGCAAATTCCTCGTTTCCCACATCGTCTTTGGTAATTTTTGGAATTTTTACGATAAAAACAAATTTAAGGCAGCAAGCACTGGTGGTACCAAGCCTGAAGAAGTGCGGAGCTAGGCTGCCATCTTTATTTCTATTCGGTTCTCTCCTCTTCTCTTTCGCAGTGTTTTCGTATCTTTTTTTCTCTCCATTCACTCATATTTACTTCTATCACCACTAAGACACTCGAAGAACAAGAAAAAGAAGGCTTCTTATAGGTGAGAGAGTGCGCTCAAATGGCTATGCTACACATGCAGTTTTGCCTGCTTTATGCCTAGCTACGACAGCATGCGACAGTACGGCCCCCAAAAGTGCTGCTGCATTAAAAAAAATACACAATTTTGCGGCCTAAGAGCAAGTATTCTGCAAGTAATATAGCACGCAGCGTGCAACGGTGATTGGAAGCACGGGTTTAAGCAAACCATTTCTTTCCAGCCTTCCTCTCGAAATTTCTTTTTTTTTTTTTTCAAACTTGATGTGCAGGTCAGCGAGCCGCCATCGTCGTCATTACAACCACAGTCAGCAAACAGTTTCTAACTGTCGTGGTGACGCTTTTGTTGCGCATTTGTACACCGTTGGAAAAAATCCATAAACAGGGGTTCTGTGCTCGGACTTGTATTCTTCAAGGTTAGAACTGCAAGTACCTCTTCTTTGCAATTTATTTGCAAACTTCAAGTAGCTCTGGCCTTTATCTGTCTAGCCACTTACGTCTGGGTGTTCTCGTGATCACCCCCTTAACTTGGCGTAAACAAAAATTAGTATGGAAGGGTTAGCTGTTCTGACGAACACGACACGCTGATTAAGACATCAATATTGTTACAATCCCGTCGCGTACGTCGTCAAAGCCTTTCCGCCAGACACGTGGCACATAACCGCGGGCGGGTATGAGCCACAGGAGACTGACACTGAGTAGCTACCTTGGAACGAGGAGAGCACACGTGGGCAATTTTAACGCGTGAGCGCTAGCAAAAACCTGACATCGACGGCGTTGATCCGGCGAATGCAAAGAACAAATGCGAGGGTCCCAGTAGAAATGAAACCCAAGTATTCTGCGTGGCAATCACGCATTCTACCACAGAGCCACGCCGGGTCTCTGAATATACTTTTCAAATAGATCCTAATGTTCGCGAAACGTCAATGGCGGTTACAGCGTCGGCTATCCAATTTCATAAACATTACATATGCACTGCTATGATACAGCCGTGACGTTGTGCTAACGTCAATTGTAGTTGGGCGCCGTGCGACGGAGTTCATTTTATAGCAGTGTCAAAAGGTTACACAATCGCGAGCACCAGCGCTTCATATCAACTTATCGCTTCTGGTGTTGCTAATACTCATGTCCCTGTCGGTATCGTTGCGCAAGTGCAAATAACTAGTTATATAAGCATCTGCAAGAGAGAGAGAGAGAAAATAAATAACAGGAAGAGACAGGGAGGTTAACCTAGACGAACTGGTTTGCTACCTTGTACGCGGGTGGGGAAAAGGGTCGGAAAGAGGAAAGATATAGGGAGATATAAAATAAAATAGAAAAAAAAACACATGCGCACACATTCAGGGAGTTCCGATCATTGCAAATCTTCAACATATGTCTATGAGTGCAACATTTATACATATATTTAGCGCCATTTCATGACGAGTCACTCGATAAAAAAATCGCAACACGGTAACTTTCCCTCTGCATGCTTCGCATAACATCGATTTTCAATGTGCAAAAATTTTTCATCACTATCTTAATCCATTTTCCCTTTCTTGCCGTTTATTCTTACATTGTTGAAATTCATATTATCACCAGAGTATACGACTGGGTGAATTGCTCGAAATTGCAAGCTATACGCACAATGTAAATGTCACTAGCTGGACCTAAGTGAGTGGCTACCAAAACCACAGATTTTTTTTTATTCAGTTGTTGAATTGCGCAAACAAGACAGGGACTAAAAGAAGAGACGATAACACCAAGTTCCTTCTTTTAGAATGTCTTGTTTGCGCAATTCAACAGTTTGCATCATGAACCAACATGCCAAAATGCCAGCCACTCTATAGAGAATCCAATTGTCTTTGTTCACGTGTTCCAATCAATAACAAGCCAATATCACTAGACCAACACTGAATTTACCATATTCATACCATTTTTTTTTTTTGGCAGAGATTAAGCAAAACCTTACAATTACTCACGAGTACATGCCAGGGATAATTTAAGTCTCTCATCAGCTATAAAATCATGCCAAACTTTAAAGAATACAGTCTGCCCGACAGAAAATAGGACACGACCAAAAGTAAAGCAGATAGGACGCCAAGAGGTGTGTGTGTATATATATATATATATATATATATATATATATATATATATATATATATATATATATATATATATATATATATATATATATATATATATAGTCAAGGAGATCCTCCGTGAGCGGTCACAACGTGGTTTATTTAGACGTTTCAGCCTAGAGACTGGCCTTCATCAGGATCGAAGGTACAGTTTGTTGGTGCTCTGGTTTTATACAATCTCAAATCAGAAGGAAAGAGACAAAAATACTGAAAAAAAGAGAAAAAGAAACAAAAAAGAAAAAAGAAAAGAAAGAAAAAAGAATAAGGTGGACTTCCCCCCCCCCAGGCGTTCCCCTTCCACTTCCCCCTCCATCTCTCTCCCCTTTCTCCCTTTCACCTTTCTGATGTCTGCGGTCTGTGTATGCTTCCTTTCATTATATATATATATATATATATATATATATATATCTATATATATATATATATATATATATATATATATGAGAGGAGGAAAAAAACCGTTTAAGCTGTCCTATCATCTACAGAAAATCCAGTCTTCCCTCGCATGAATGCCTAGTTTTTATTTTTCTCGCGAATATTCACTCGCGTGCGGGCCGCGTCACAAAACGTCCCGCTGAGATCTGCCGATGTGGTTGAAGCTCGAGGCCGCCCGCGTAAGCGAAGCACCCTCCTACAGAGCACGCAGCCGACGATGATATCGAGCGTGTTCAGCCGGCGATATCGCAACCACGATCATGTTTCCTGCCCACCCTCCGGAGTCCGCCCGGGAAACCGCTACCCGCTCCTCAAGCGCGCGCACACATTCAAACCTGCATGGAACACGGCGCGCCTCATGGTACCATGCGAAGGAGTGCATTCAACACAACAACGGTATCCTTAGAGTCAACATAAAGTGAATTGCAGCCTTGCGCAAGACTTTTTCCTTAAGCAGGCGACGGAAATACACGACTCGCGAGAAGAAATAAGGCGTCAGCCATAATATGCTTTCGACAAGTCGCTCTGCCACGCGGGGCGAGAGGAAACTATAGGAATGGCAGGGGGGCAAATCAGACGAGCAACTTGTAGTTTGCTGCCCTACAACAAAAGAAGGAGAAAGGAGAAACAAAAGCGCAGACAAAGAGCAAGTGAGCAAACGGAAATCTGTAGTCTAAAACCGGTGTCACACTGGCATAGGCACGCGAACGAGGAGGGCAGATGTCTGTCATCCAAAAGGAGGGGAGGCTGAAATACTGCCCCATACATTGACTTGATAGGAGTAGGAAGGCTGCGATAATACCTGCATCGTTTCTGCACGGTCCACCCAGTAATCCGAATCGAGTTTGGCGCAGACGTCAGCAAAATGGCGATTCGGCAGTCAAATCATGATCGTTTTCATCCCGATCGGGCATGATGGCGATTAAAAGTCACCGTGTAGCAGGACCTCATCCAGATCAACCCTTACCACGATCAAAATTGATTGATATGTGGGGTTTAAATATGTGGGGATATGTGGGGTTTAAACCACCATATGATTATGAGAGACGCCGTAGTGGAGGGCTCCGAAAATTTTGACCACCTGAGGTTCTTTAACGGGCCCCCAAAATGTGAGCACACGGGCCTACAGAATTTCCGCCTAATCGGAAATACAGCAGCCGCAGCCGGGATTCGATCCAGCGAACTGCGGGTCAGCAGCCGAGTACCTTAGCCACTAGATCACCACGCCGGGGTTACCACGATCAAAATTGCCCACTTAACGCCGACATAATAGCTATGCCTGCCACACGAAAACTTCAATGTCTTGACCGCAGCTGTTAAGACCAGGTACCCACGAAGTTAAGTTCTGTAAAATACTGAGATAAAGTTCTGGCTACAAGTAAGGCAAAGAACTGTGGACGAATTCAAAGAGAGCAGCTGCGGTGGTGATTGCGGGACTAATGCCGAATGCGCAAATAGAAGTAGCGTTGCACACTATCGGTTCTCAAAGCATTGCGCAGCCAAACAGTCACTGCACATACTATTTGATGAAGCAGCGCACAAAAAGACACAACCACGCACACATAAAATGACGCAAACACAACAGCGCTCACGTCATTTTATGTGTACGTGATTATGTACCTTTGTGGGCTGGTTCATCTGATATGACCAATCAAATACTCTACCAATGCACATGAAGTATTTACTCTGACATCAAACAAGGCATTCAGGAGGACACGAGACTGACCACAGTGGAAGCGGAGTGGGCCGTCGAAGTGGACGACCACGTTCCCGTGTCTGGCTCGTTCTCGTCGATCACCAGCGGTGGCAGCGGACGCGACGCCAGTCGGGCCTCCAGCGTCGACACGGTGGCGAGAACTTCATCGGGGGACGACGCGTGGTTCGCGATCACCTCGATCGTGTACGGGTTCAGTCGGCTGCGCACCAGCCCCGGCGACCGAAGGTCCAGCGTGAACGAGTCGCGCAGTGCGGTCGTGGACGGCGACATCGGTGCCGGAACGAATGCGCGGTGGTCGCGAGCCACCAGCGGCGGTAGTTCATCGCGCTCGTCTTCGCGGATGAACAGCTCGGGTAAGGCGGCGCCGGCTGCCGTTTCGTCTTCGGGGTCAGAATCACTGATTCGCAACTCGACCTCAGCGAATCCCTCCACGGCAGGTGCGTTCTTGACCGAACCTGCGGTACAATTAAAAAGAGCATAAGTCATGAGAACTTTTATACCCGGAAACAACAAGTGCAAACTGAATAAACAGACAGCAGCAGCAAGGCGACAGAAAACATCGCGACACACAGGACGTTGACAAAGACGGACCAAGCGATAGACTTGCAACCAAAGATTTTCATTACAGTCAAGTCTTACTGCACTGACAAATACGGTAATATGCGCACGAGTGTGCCGTCGATAGCGCTTTTGCCCACAGAACTTGTGTATCTATGACGTGGGTGACGGCTTTTTTTCTTTCTTAATATGATTACGAAGAATTTGCAGCAGGCAGCTTATCACTGTTCTTTTCTCCCTCACAACTTTTCACAATACGTGTGTGTACATATATATACCCTCTTCGTGCGGAACAAAACTTCGGACTCGCTCGCTGGATTCCATGCCTACCGGTTAATTGGGCCCTCGCGATCTCAGTGCAGCTCTGGCGGCCCGACTGGGTTGATCCTACGCCACCTCACTCCCTCCCTCCCTCTCTTTCTCTCTCTCTCTCTCTCTCTCTCTCTCTCTCTCTCTATATATATATATATATATATATATATATATATATATATATATATATATATATATATATATACTATATATATATATATATATATATCTATATATATATATATATATATATATATATATCATAGTCTTGTTTTTTCGCGCCGTTTCTCGTTTCTTTAAATATGTACCAACCGGCCCAAATAACCGTCCTTCAGCGCAGTGCGATTTCGTATTTGCCATTCTGTATGCCCGTTTCAAATTGCCAGTGTGGAAAAGGAAATGAGCCGAGCTATATTTTTTACGGGTGCTTGCATGCACTTAGCCCTACTGATGTCCTCCTTGTGCGTAGCCAATTGTCCGGGTGCATATACATATAGGCGCATGAAGGCTTGTGGTGCTGGTACTCAAATATTCAGAAAACAGAATTATAAGTAGAACTTGAAGGAATAACACATTTCGAGCTAGTCGGTTCTTCATACCGAGGCGAAAACAGTGCTTAAAAAGCGCCTGTGTTTTTATCTTTCCTTGTGTCTGTCCGCTCCCATCCGTGCACTCTAAGAAGTAGAGGAGCAAGAGGTGCCTGGGTGTTGCTCTTTTAGAGGAGTAACTAACCTGTCACACCCACTGCACCATTTCGGGAGTAACTGCGAAAAATTAATCACGCTCTCGCGGTTACTTCTCAAAGAAGCGACAGCTATATTGCGCTAAAGAAAAATCATGTCTTCGTTGACTTAACCAGCATTTCGATGTGCCTGCAGGCATGTCAGTAAATGCAGAATCGATGTGCACGCATTACATTCAGAAATATTTTTCGGATAATTGGCAGCAAACACACGGAATTCGAAATCACGACCACTCACTCAGCATGCGCGTACACCAACTATATACCACCCCACACCACGCTAGAGCACCGTCAGACAGGAAACAGGCTTGTGTAAACACCGATGGGTTATTTGCACACGGTGCGAGCGTTCCTGAAGTTACTACAAAAAAAAAACAGGCGCTTTACTCCACAAGGAAAAAAAGTACCTCTCCTTGTCATGCAATATTTTGCTCACATTTCGTCTCTTGGGCAGGCAGAGAGCCCTTTTCGGGGTAACTGCGCAGTTCCTCAAGAGAACTTTTTAAAGTGCACGCGCTCCCTCCGGTAAGAACTGAATGGACTATCGACAACATTTGCCGTAAACACGCGACATGTATTTTACAAAAAAAAAATGTAGTGAATCCAAGGTCCCGCGTTTTGTTAGACAAATTCATGTAAATTTGGTAGACAATGCACCGGGAAAAAATGTAGAAGGCATTATTAGTAGTACTTTATTGAAGTGTATAGTAATCAACACATAATACGCCTACGAAATCAAGGCGGACTAAAAAAAAAACTATTCGCCCCCGACTGGGATAGTAAAAGAAAAAACTGGGCAGACACACTGAGGCCAACAGACGCGCGCACAGTTGCAGCGATAGATAAAAAAAATGTATTTGCACTACCATCTTTAGAAAAATGATCGCGCAAAAGCGAGCAGTTTCCATGGCTGGCTACCGAGCTCTTGGGGGAAGGGAATCGGAGAAAAATGTTATCAGATAGGAGAAATTAAAGACAAGGGTTGACTATGGTATGTATACTCACCAACTGTGCAACTCACCAATTATTTGGATTTTAGAAATATGCTTTTGGGTACAGAAGTGAATGCACGTCTGCCGACAGTAGCGCCACTGCATCTTACGCGTGAAGGTGAGTATACTTGAAAGACGTGGCGCAAGTAACGATGCACCAACTGGCCCAACATTTAAGTCAGTTGGTGCTCCCTCCCCTCTGTCCCGCAAAGCATACGAGCTGTTCTTCACCGTACACAGCAGCGCGGATTCGGAAGTGTGGCCAAACGGAGTCATACGTTGAAAGCGAGCCATAGTGCGGGCTAGGAAGAGATTCAGAGGTACTCACCCAGGATGTCATGTGTGGCTCTTTCCGGCTCTTTCCCCTCCTCATCATCGCCGCTTTCGTCAGATTCGTAGTAAAGCTGCTGGTTCTTATACAGCGAGCCGTCGTAGCTAAGCGCCTGGGAGCTGTCGATATTGACGACCGAAGACAACGCGACGCCACTCATGGTTCGATCGGCCGATGTTTCTGGACAACTGCCAGCCCGGCTGGAGCCGCACAAAGACGTCAAATGTTGAGAATCCACACGGCCAATCCGTAGTGCCGCCAGATCAGGCCACGAAGATGACCTCACCATTGACAATTTCTTGTTCGCACTGCTTTCGCCATCGTCGGTGCTTCTCGGAAAATCCCGTTCAGTTCCTTCGCGTAACGGCGAGGCGGAAGCCACGTTGCTCTCTGCATCCTCGACGCCATCCCCTCGGACGGACACCTCTGAGGCCGACTGCTCACCAGCGCGAGGAGTGCAGCTAGCCTCGGTCATCTGCTGAATTGTCCAAGTGCCTTGGTCAACGGTGTCGCTGCCACGCTCGATCGATGGCCCTTCATCGTCGAGCGGGAACAGTTCTCCGGCGAAGGAACCATTGACCGCTTCCACGAGGCGCTCGGTGTAGATGGACAGCAGCTGTGCGTCACCGCTGGGAGGCCGCGACAGCTGCAAGGATTCCCAGCTGTAGTACGCGTCCCAGGCGCATGCCGGCGCTTCTCCGTCGCTGGCGCGGCGTCCTCGAGAGCCGTTCGTGGCGACCAGAGTCGTTGTCGACGGCGCCTTCTCGGATGAAGAGCCACCGATTCCATTGACGCTGCGCCGAGGTCTAGGTGCGCTAAGGGACGTGTAAGCGGCCACGAACTTGCCTGGCGTCCGGTACGAGTTGTCCGGAACCCCGATGCTGTACAAGTCAGGACACGAGTTCTTGCGGCTTCCAGAGCATGACGACGAACTTCCAGTGGACTCGGAGGCGAGCAGGTCCTCGACGGCCCTGCCTACCTCGGCCTGCAAAAACAGATCGAAAGTGTAAAATAAGTTTCGGCAAACTCCAGGGCATATGTTATTCCATGTATATAAGTACACACGTAAGCTATTTATAGTTTTGTTTCTTGGGCACTTGACCGGCACGACACTGTTCCGGCTTTAGTGATCTAAGGGGGGAAAGAATAAAGGGAGAGAGGTGCAGCTGAACTTGCTTAATACAGTCGCGAGTGCAGGCGATGTCATCGAGAATTATTTTTCTCAAGTGGAATTGGTACAGCGCGCATTGCCTCTATCCATGATGTCGCAATATACGCCCATTCCTCAAAGCCTGTAAGCAATGGCCCTTTCTCCACCTTCACCATGCAGCGACTGCGTACACTAATGCGATAGCATCGTTATGATTGATTTAGCGCGTCATGGTGTGTGACGTTGCCTACACGTGGCGCCTCCCCTTCCATCTTGAAGCCAGCTGGAACCAGCTTCTTGCATAGTACTACATTTCGCCGCTGATTAGTGTCATCTACAAGAATATGATGCCAGTGTTGTGGTGGATCCCATGAGACAACTTGAGCCATCACAAAGCATTATCGCATTTTGCCACGAATGCGATGGATCGCTGGACAATCTCACGTAGAAACAGCTATAGCAATTAAAACGTTCGCGCAGAGTAACAGCCGTTTCTCGGCTGTGGACGGCAGCCGGCGACGAAATCCATGCAAGCCCCCGCTTTCCCACAGCACTTCTCATGCAAATGAGCCTTCAGAGTAGCGGACCTTTTGTCTGTCGCTGCTTCTTTCCATCCCAGTGCTCCCACACATTACCGTCGTGGGACGATACACTAAACACCAGCGTGCGTGAAGGGTTATGGTGGGAAGAGAGACCTGGGTTACGTCACACCGCTAGTCGAGCCACTCCCTCCATTTCACGGCGGCCCGAGCACGTGGCCGTCATTGTGGCCGAGTTGCAAAGCGTAGCTGGCATCAATGCCGACGGCGCGGGCAGGAAGAGTGTGACACCGCCGAGCCCCCGCGTTACGTGCCCCCCGCAGGGTCACCGGAAGGGGTCAACGAGGTGCGGGCTCTTTCCGCATTGCAGGGCGCCCACGAACGATCGAGGGGCGACGCGAGCGGGATCATGCATGCATAAACTCGTCCGCGGGGCGCGTCGCGGTTGACTCGACCCTGTAGCGCCCAGAGCATCGCTTCAAGCGACGCTCTGCACCGGTTTCATTCGGAGTTCGTGTACGCCTCCATGGTCGCGGCTGTTGACACCGAGGACTTTCGGCACGGAAGAACCCGAAAATAAAAGTAGTTTGAATACGCAAATCTCTACTTCATAGCTGCATAATACGGTCGCCAGTATTCCGATGAAGTGTTCATTATTATACTAAAAAACAAACACAAAAAAGAAATACGGCCGAGGACTGCAACTGTTTCTAGATTAGTCATCACGTATGATTGCATGAGCCAAACTTTACATGACAACATTATTTCTTCTTTTGTAACATTATAGAAAGGTGACAAGAGCAAAAAGTACCGAGACCTGTCGGAGGCTCCTGCTCGGTTGACGAATTTGGCTGCAGTAAACAGATTATTTGCACGATAAAGGCATCTGGTACATTATCAACTTACAATATAACAAAATATAACAGCTAATGACACGAAGCGATAACATATATACAAAAGTTGAACAAATTATCCAATTCAGTTATACATCACTAACATGATTAGCACTCCAGTAAAGCATTTTTGGAGTAAATTAGCACATTGGCATTAACACAACATTACGAAAGTAATGTCTTAATGTCGCTACTCTGGGAAGAACGCCGTGACCTTATGATTTGTACGGAAGCAACGTCGCGGCAGAACAATACGGAAACTTGATGATGTCTTAAAACCATCGTTTGTGTCATGTGCTTGTTAGCATGACGATAGTTATAGCGCGAGAACAGAACGACGACAAAGAGACGCGCTATAACTATCGTCATGTCATCCTACTAGCCCAAACTTGCCACACTTCTAAGCCATATTACGGTTGTTTCTTTAACACTACACAGCTGTGATATTATACATTGTTTGTTTTCGCACTGTCTAAATGCGTGTGCGTGCGCGCTTTTTCCCTTCGGCTGAATCTTCAATTCACAAACGCATTCTTTGTAAGGCAGCTTCAACTAATCATAAGAAGTGGTTGAAAGAGAGAATGCGAGATTGTTGTCGCAAGGTGTGGTGTGCCGCGTTCAGTTGAATGACTTAATAAGTGTCACTATGTTTCTCTGCAATGCTATTTTTAACCAGTAATTAAATGTAGGTTACTGTTTTGTCTGGCATGTCACCACAAACGAAAGCATCAACGAGCTTGCAGTGTTGCAAAAGCGTGTGGTCCACTTGATATGTACATCTCACACAATGGTGACCCTTTTATTAGACGCATCATTAATTCAATCCTCAATCATAACTTATGCGTCAGTATAGATCTGGTTTATTGGGAAAAAAGATAGTTCTCTACAAACCAAACTGCGTGACTACAAGCCTCCTTAGGAAAACACAATACGCATAAACCAGAAGAATGCCAAATTTAAGGAATGTCGCGCAAGTTACGATAAACAGCTGCTGCGGTTCACACTACTAACATTGATCAACACAGGAAAAAAACAGCTTCTAAACATCACACGAACTTCATTGAAAAAACTACGGAGAATCCTTGCCCCGAACCTGCCTTCAAAACATCGTCGTGTATTTTACTCGTCACTGTTGTTTGCTAAAGGAGAAGTTTTTTGCAGGCGTTCTTTACGCGCTCTTACAAGCGCGTCTTCTTTCTTTATTGAAATAAAGAAATTACTGAAGGAGATTTCAACATTGCCTGGCAACGGCTACCCCTTCGCGCTTAGTTGTGACGACGTCAAAAATTAAGAAACAAAAATAACACATCAACATATATACACTCGGTTCCACATTTGGTGAGTTCGAAAATTCACGCTTCGGCTGAGCAAACATACAGTTACGGTGCCCCCTTCCAATATAATGCACCCATATTTATCACAACTATTGGTGCCATAAAAACAATGTCGGAGCAGTTTCATTGCTTTGAGGTTCATCCTAGATGGATATGCGTCTAGTACTTTCGTCGACGAGAACTCCAGCGCGTGGAGTTCCTGCCTGAGTCACCGTCAATGTGTGTCGTGTTTGCGACAGTCGAGCAACAGATGATACACATACTCGTCGTCGTGGCCGCACGTGCATGTTGACGATGGTGCACGCAGAATCCTAAGTAGGAAGTGCTTTTTGTAAGCACTTCTTGGTATTACGCGATGGACAGGAGCGTTGATACGTCTTGGGAGCTGAGGGTCTTTTCTTGCACGCATGGCTCACCTGCATGTGAGCCATGTTCAAATATACCGTATATGTCTATCTTTCTTCTTCTTCTTCTTCTTCTTCTTCTTCTTCTTCTTCTTCTTCTTCTTCTTCTTATTATTATTATTATTATTATTATTTATTATTTCGACACGAAAGTGTCTTGTGCCGGGGTTCGCCGCAGCCCCCCTGACGTATTTCCATCAGGAATATGACGTAAAATATATAACAGATTGACCTTGTCGCCAACCTAAAAACAAAATGGCTGTGGCTTAGCTCAGCTATGCCAGGATATACGTAGCGTTAGCAAAGGTTCAGCTGATTATTCTTAGCTTTCCAGATAGCATGATTACAGCTGTTCCCATGACAACACACGGTATACGTATTATGTGGCACATGTATATCTATTTTGCCGTGCAACTACTTCGGGTTCCGATGAGTTTAAGCTTCTCCGCTCTACAGCATCGTTTGAGCAGCATTCGCACTCTCCTTCTACATGCTATACTACAGTGGCAAACACCAGTCAGAGGCGCTATCAAGCGGCTCCAGCGCAGTGTCAGATGGCGACTGCACAGGGAAGGCGCGCGCGTCGGCGTCCATATGTCTACCAAGGCTATGACGGCACTCCTCTGGAAAGCGCACACCGGCGGCGGCGAGTCGCGCGCGGCCGCGGCCCGATGTGCGGGGGGAGGTGCCGGCTCCGGTGCGTGACACCACCGATCGTCTGCGCAGCGCATCGAATTGCGCGCACCCGGCGGCGAGCCGCGCGCGGGCGGCGGCGGAGTATCATTGCGCATGCGCAGACCATTGCCACGCGAAATTGGCTCAGCGAGGCCAGTGTAGCTAACGCTACAAGAAACTGAGGCGGCGCGCACGTGAAGGCTCCTTAGCGTTGGACCGCTATAAAGGTCGTCGCCTTCCGCGTTTCGAAGAGCACCGCCTCCTCGAAGGATGTTGGTCCCGCACGCGCGCTTATCAGGCTCGTCTTCTGAGAGAGCACGATGGTCACTTCGCTCGCTACCACGGCCGAATTTGCGAAAGGAGCAAGATGCTCTCACACGAAGAAGTAAGAATTATGACAACTGTTCGCGCTGTCCTGTGTATACTTCTGCGTTCGTTTCGTACGCCCTTTTTTCGGTTATACAGAGCGCTTTAAGTGTCGAGCTGTGATGTTAGTCCGTGCTCGCCTCGTCCTGTGTATGCTCATTTCGTGCGTGCTCTCTGCTTGAGGCGCACCGCTGCAAGTTCCGAGCTGCTACTGTATAATTGAAGTTTTTGCGCACACACACAAGGACACAGAAGAAGGGAACACAAGGACCAGCGCAGCGCTGGTCCTTGTGTTCCCTTCTTCTGTGTCCTTGTGTGTGTGCGCAAAAACTTCAATTATGCAGCAGTACCAACTAGCCCGTCTTTCCGTATTATTGCTGCTACTGTAGTTGCCTTTTTTCGCATGACTTAGCAGTTGCTGCTGTAGCATTCATTCCTTCAGCCTTATGGCGAAATAATGCACAATAACCACTCAACTACATCTGTGAAGAAACGCTTCACTTTCGTGTTTACCGATTCCTATAAAGAGAGATCAGCCACATTTGGTTGTTGTTTGTTTGTTTGTTTGTTTGTTTGTTTGTTTGTTTGTTTGTTTGTTTGTTTTTGCAACCACCTTACGTGCTG